TATGTGTGGTTACAATTATGGCAAACCCATGTACCTCTAACCACACAACCACTTAGTCAGCGATCCTCGATCGCCTTAATACGTTATTTCATTTGTGACTAGATAGGACGACAGAATTGATTTTATCTATAGAGCCACGTACAGCTGTACATTCGAAATATACCCATACTGTGTAATTTTTGTGGCTGTATGTTCAATTTGTAGCAGATTCGAAGGAAACTGCGCATCTTGTCATTATTTAAATCATACGCTTTATTAGTATACTTCAGAGATTGTTCCCATATCTTTATAATGAGGTCTGTATATTTACATCGACTCTTTCACATGGCACCTTGTGTGGTGGGAAGTCCTTGTAATTTTCAAAAAGGTTACTCCCACGTTCTGCCATATTTACTATTAGTCGTTGCGAAAACGGGGTGTTGGTGCGGGTAGAGGCCGGTCGTTTTCCTATGTTCATGGAGAGTTCTATCGAATTGGCGTCTGGTATGAAGGGAAAAATGTTGCGATCTTTGGTGTGGAAAGAAATTAGGCTTGGAATCTGTTATTGCTGGTTGGGTGTTCGGGATCACTGTTGGATTTGTAGGATTCTGCGGCTGTGAATGGGGTTATGAAGGTGATAGAATGAAGCGAGGGATGACTATTGTCACATTGATTTCTGAGCCTTGAATCGATTGTTAAGCTGCCGTTGTATGTTTCTGTTGTTGAATTTCTATTGTTTTTTCAAGCCTTGGGACCAACAAGAGCATTCTTCTCGCAAAAGTGCGACCAATGCAGGCCTTATTACCATTGCATACCCCATTACTATGGAAATAGTCACGGAACTCCCTTTTGAAGAGACTTTTGATTTTCTCGAACATTTTCCTTGCTCAATCGCCGCATTTGTCTTTGAATGCGAAGAGCAGGTTCTCCCCTTGCACCCTGAGGTCCACCCATTCTATAGAGAATCTTAACCCATATAAAGTAAGCGCAGTTGGTCATGAAATATTTTCTACAGGTATTTCCCAAGTGTTTATTTCAAGTCAATCGGCGTACTTTGGTGAAATCCTTGCGCCTTCATGAAGCCTTATAATCTATCTCAACTAGCACTCTACCAACTCCTGCTGTTACATGGTTTGTAAGTCATCTCTTGAAGCACCAGCCGGCCCTACACCTATTTCATCTTAAATTTTGTGAACTAAAATTGTATGTTACTGAACAACTTCTTATTGAACTTGTCGTTCTACCGTTTTACTCTCCCTCTAATCGTTCATAGTCTGACTTAGTGTTGGAGAGAGAAGTTCTAGGTCTTAACACTTAGCTGGTCTGTAGTTTTAAACTCGCTCCTGATCATTGTCGGTAAACCTCAAACGTAAAGCCCTACGAGGTTCCATGCGTAAAATCTATTCTGTTGTTCCATCCCTCTAACTAGCCACTTATGAAATGAGGTATTCCGTTGATCTTCTGTTGCTGAATAAGCTATTACGTGATTGGAAGTATATGGTTTGCCATCATTGTAATCAAATAAAAATTATTTCAAGAAACGATTGATAGGCCTAATAATTTCTAAGCATACCTATGAAGAGACTAAAATGAGGCTAAAGAGTAAAATTTTCAGAATTTATGGCGAACCAGCCATATGTAAATGATTTAGTTTAGGAATACGATGTAGTCTATCGTCTCTCCGGTTGAGAAAACAAACTTATCTGGCTTCAACACTCGATAACTGAGCAGAGATGAGGGGTGGCGGTATAACAAGGAAAAGAGTCAACCCTTATAGCCAGGGTGGCCTCAAATCCAAGGTGGGCAAGGTGATTGATTTTGATGGGGTCCGATGCTGTCAATATCATCATGACTACTTCCAGCCCTGCTGAACACTAGTACTTTGAGCGATCCGGCATTTGTCGTAGATAAACAGCCGCTCCATTCAACTCGTTCCAAAGACACACGTGCGTCTCGTGGCCCTTTACTCTTGGCATCGACACCATGTACCTGGCATTGTTCTTGAAACTAGAAAAATCTCTCATGTGACGATAAAATAGATCAATAATTAGCCACGTCATCGCGAAAGTTGACCAGTCGTATTATTGAATTTTTTTCGTGGGTAATTCTAAGCGGCGCAAATAAAAAGAGGCTGGTAATTGATCTCTTGGTAGCCCTTAAATCTTGACTCAGTCTATCTGGAGCTTGATTAAATCATAATATCTAGTTTCCTCTGGCAAGTTAAGCTCTGGTCTGCTCAAAGATTGTAGGTCTAAAGTTTAGGATTGTAATGGGAGATTATAAAATTTGGACATTAGCCCTGGTTTCTGGCAGAAAAAAAGCACTCATCTGCCCAAAAATTCCCAAGTCTCTGTAGCGCAAGTAATTGACAGTAGCTGAGGCTTTGAAATAATCTGATCTTTTCTTTAATCAGATGGGTGATTTATGACATGTGGGGGGTAGCCAAGCCTGCAAGTTGCCCACTACAGTATTTTCCGTGGCCCTGTAGGTAATAGCGAGTAGCTTATAGTTACACTTGAGTGTAAACGAAACAAAAGTAGCACTACAGCAATATTGACACAAGCTTTACTGTGAAGGGGCCATCCGGGGATCGGTGTGGAGAAGAAGTGAAACTGTTCTATCATGCAATGTTAGATAAGTTCTGATACAATATCGCCCAGTAATCGTTAAAACCTTGTAGCGTATGCGCGGCGGGGTAAATCATAGCCATTTGTCTTTTCCAAGAATATTTCTCTTGGCACTAACAACTAGAGGCATGATAAATAGCCAAGCCAATGTTGAAGGGCATGATAGGCCGAAGACTGAGAAGATTTTCGCACTAAAACAAAATTTGACATCTTCAGCATTGAGACGAAGGATAGGGCTGAATACCAGGTGATATATTATAGGCCTCGAATAGTCTGAGAGCTCTCGGAATTCCGGATATTAGACTCGCTCCTCGAATTAACATTGATCACGGACGCATCTTGATTAGAGTACGCAGCAAGAAAGCGGTATAATGATGGTGATCAAGTAACTGTAGACACAAGACCTACAGCGTACGAGTCATTCAAATTCTAGTCTTCCAAAACTCGTCGCTACCCTCCTCTGTGAGCTGAGATATGCACGTTCGTATATGGCCCAGCTACGTCCCCTGACGATTGGGCTTCATAGTGAACGGTTCAAGTTCCACGAATGGTCGGAGTGGGAAAATATGATCGGCTCTTGCTGGCTAAGCAGCTGGGACGCATGACTTGTCGCTAATTTGTCTTCATCTCGAGTCATTTCGAAAATTTAGTATTGCGTGCGAGACAGGGAACGCGTGAATTCGTGCCAGTCTTAAATGATCGATTGCAAGGAAATTTGCCATGTAGTTGAGTGGATCAGGAGAGCCTTAGGGTCAAGTGGTTATGTTCATTTCCCGCACCTACACCCACTCCACTCCACTAGAGCCTAGAATTACAGGCAACGCAGGGGAAATTGAAGTAAATGTATGGGTGCATGTTAAGAAAGAAATGATGACTGACGACGAAGACTTTACATCTGGCCAAACTGTCTCTCTCTCTTCACGTGATGGGCTACTGGCAGGCTGATGTTCCGCACCCCGAGCAGGTCCCACTCTGGAATAACGAGCTTAGGGGGTGTGTAATATGAACACAACGCAAAGTTCAAGGCTGTGGCCAAGGTACTCGTACGCCCAGACCAGTCCCTTAACCGGCCTCATGTCTCATACAGCATGGCTTCTAGATGGAACAATTCCGGTACGCGTCCAGAAAACGCGCCCCAGGCATCCACATACGAGCAAGAAGCTCGCGCAATTGAAGTAGAGCTGAGGAATTAGAAGCCTTGCCGAGCCTGCTTGAATTAGATAACCCAATAAACTCCTTCCTCAAGAACAAAGTCCGCGACTAGCTCTCTTATTTAGCCACTGATCCCAATCGATTCATCTCTTGACTCATTTGGCACACTGAGACAGAATAATTAGAATCGTGCTGCTGCTCTATCCCTGCCATATTCAAGTGTCACGATAAGCTGCGAAGGTGTATCATTGGAGTTAACTCTGGTGAATGATACTTTCTACGATGGAGGACGTGCCCTCTCGCCGCCAGCTAACGAATCGAAATATCTCGCATCATGCTTCACGCAAGCTATACCACGTGACCAATACATTCCGCAGTCCGTCGACGTTAAGCTTTCAAAGTTGATTTCGCAACGAAGACTACATCTCTATTAGTTTAATAAGCATATTTTTTATCAACTGTAAAAGTTCCGCGATGGACTTACCGTGGAATCGATGCGTGAGCAGTAGATACTAATACAAAAATCATGTGAAATACCCGGGAATCCGGACCATGCCTTTGGCGCACCAAGAGATAAGCCAGGCTCATGCGTGTTCCGTTCTTACCGAAAGACCTCGACCGATTTGTGGGTTAGAATTGAAGTTCAAGTAGAATTGATCAAAAATTCCCGATAATTAATCAATACCTTGCGAGGATATTTCTGTTGGAAAGAGATCGGTTTATATCTATTTTTAGTCATGATCTTTCGGATATGAATCAAGCTACTGGCGCTTTAATACACTTATACTGCCAAGACCTTAAAATAGCCAGTTTATCTGACTGCTATCTCCCGCATTCCCGAAGCAGACTCAAACTGGTGTCACGTGCATGAGCATGTTCATCGAGAACGAATGTTAAGTCACAACGCTATAGAGTAAATAATATGATATTGAACCGAAAGAATAAGCAATAGAATATGTTTAGTTCTCCCTCTCTTCAGCCGTTAAGGTAAAGTGATTATGATTGATTTTACAATACGAAAAACGGCCTATTCATCGAACACGTGCTCTGACCAGCCATAGTGACGAGACAGATTATTTCTGGTCAAGAAAAAACTAACTCCAACTAAAAATCCTATGAAAAATGTACACTAACGGTTTCTACCAATACTCATTGTTTGATTCGTCCCAGTCTATATTTTGATCACACCATACGCCACACATTGTATAGACAGGACTCCCCCATAATTTTTTAAATTGTATGTTAGGAACTTCTGCGTTGCTTACATTTGTCGTGTGCGAGGTGACCATTTCTTGCTGTAGTCCGCGTAAACTCAGCTCCGCAGTGGGGACAGCTGGATTTCTGAGCCGCGCCAGACTTTTCACGCTGATGTCGAAGTAAATTGCTGAATGTCGAAAACTGGCGTCCATTACATCCGTGTTCCCAACATTGGGGCTTTGGTCGACTGTGTACAACGCGAACTGGGTCGTTAGATTCAGATTGCCCAAGTGAAGGACCTGCTGGTTGTGGACAGTACATTCCTAAATGATCGGGTATTGAAGATAAAGGCAAAGAGTGTGGTCGTTCAATATAGTTAGGTATGGATGTCTCAACTTGGCCACTATATGACATGGGGTATGCCATCGTTGTTGTAAAGTCGTTTGGTATGCTGAAAGGATTAGACTTGCGCACGATTTTAACTAGCACGAGGACTTACATATTAAATTGCTGCCCATAGATATCGTTTGGTAGCTGAGAGTTGATATGGGGCGAGTATGGGGATAAGAAAGGGGTACTTGATAGAGTGGGGGAAGTTTGTACGGAGCATTGCGAGAGAAGAGGTGAGGGAGTTACACTTGTTGCATAATCCGTCTTTGGAAAGAAATCAGGGGAAGTTCCTTGTGAAATGCTGTAATGATTACTATTGTTGCTTGCCGACCGCGCTCTTCTGATGCATGATTTGGTTTCTCTTCGAATTTGGTCCCGACGACGCTTTAAATCTCTTGCCTCAACGCTATTTCTAGCCTGAGGTGGACTTGATGAAGGAGACCTAGAGCACATGGATGAAGATAGAAGTTCGGGCTCTTCAAACAAAATTTCTGGGCTCGGCACCGAGAAGAGCTGATCGTGAAGCTCAAATTCTTTACAACTATCAACTTCGCTCTCAGCTTTAGGAAGGAAACTTACGAGGCCAGGTATGATAACCATCGAACTGTGAGTCATAATGATGAATACCCATGGTACTACTTCACGCTATTAATAAAAGAATTCGTCAAGAAAACGAAACACCTACTTCATTCCCATAGAATATGTGTTTGAACGATTCACTATTTGATTACTTGCTTGATTTGGGTGTCTAGAAAATGCTTGAGCTGGTCCGAGTTTTGATAAAGGAACTGCGCTGATGGGCTCTTCGCTTGAAGGGGGAAATGTAGACCAATTAGCCCCCGAATTGGATTCGGATAAATGTGAAAATAGAGTTGGATTTTGAGACGCTGAATTAGTTTTATGATAAAGAAAGTTGGATGTAGGATAAGCGTCTGAATTATTTGAGGATATTCTACTTTGGTGATTTGCAGAAGTGATATTTTGAATATTTAACCCTTCGAAGTGTGGCGTCGACGTATGACCTGAGTTTGAGCGAGATCTGTTTACAGGTGAAGCAACAATACTTGGGTCTACACAGACGTTCGAGTCCATCAGGTGTATAAAAGTTGATCCTTATAATGCTGCATAAACAGATAGACGAGTTGAAGGGAATGTTTTATAGCCGTGATTCTAAAGACACCGGCTTGATTCGGATGGGTGGTTCTAAAGTTCTGAAGGTCTTAAAAGAACGGAAGACTGGATGAAGATCTGCCTTGGGAAATTTGGAAATGAGAGTAGTTTATTCAAGCTTCTGCCTCGGACTATGGGGAAACGGGTCTGTATTGTACCTTTCTACCGAAGATATCATGGTCAATTTTCCTTAGCTAAAGCACCTGACGTAGAGGTAAATTATCCAATAAACTGGCAGACTCATCAGCTAGTTAGCTGATTTTGGGCCATTTGCTTAGGGAATTAGTCTTTCCCGGTTATTGGTTGCTGGAAATATCTTGGCGAGTGGTTCTGAAGGATTCGTGCCCCTGAGGGTGTATCTGATGATGAAGTGCATTTTTTATGAAAAATTAGCCTTGCTAGATATAGGGATTAGGGCTTAAAGCGAGTCGTCCACAGCTTAAAGCCAAGTGGGTTTGAAAGTTCCGAGATAGCATAGATATGAGCTGATGCCAAAATGACAAGTGTAAGCGAGAATTTAAGTGTTTCATGCATGAAGAACTGAACGCAATATCCAGCGGAAAATGGCGAGCCTGTCGGATACAACTTAACTGAAGCTACTAGAAATTGGGCGTTTGACATTTAGAGGTCTTCACAGAGACCGTCCAGAAGGTATCTCCGAATTAATTGTTCTTTTCAATCACTATCCGACGGGTGAAAGTACTCACCCCAGGTGAACTTAACGTCATGAGCACCCTTCAGTCGCATTGTGCCATTTCAAACCCATGCCTCGGACGAGATAGGACCTAAGCGCAGGGCGCAGAAGGTGGCACCAGCGTACTAGGAGCAAGCACTCATATTGATTATGACCGAAATTATTCAATTAAGATACACTTTCAGAGATGGTCATATATGTGAATCTTTAAGCCTTTTTCCGGTACATCTTTTCTAGAATCTCTTTTCCCATTGTGGAGGCTAGTTTAATTTTTGACATCGATCTTGGATGTTGCTGTATTGACATTGATTATTTTGGTGGCTTGATTCTCAGGGTGGACTGAAAGCTTGGAGAGGTAGGCTATGTTAGCTAAGTCGCGTGAGGTATTTGTCCACTGGATGCCAACGTTGAGCCCTGTTTAACTAGGCGCTAAGGGGAAACTTCTAGACGGGCCGTCTCGGCTTCGAGAAGCTATAGTTCCAGATAGGCGCCAAGTCATTATATTAAAATGCCCCACATTGGTCATCAGGTCTTCTTAATAAGCGAGATACGGTGCAGCCTGAAATGGGCGAAGACTCTCCTAGGATTTTCGGAAATTTGATCTTCCGCTATCCGTATTGGGACTTAGGGCGTGAGAGCAAATTTTGTCGCAGCGCGCGCCTGACGATAATATCATCACTATCATAAACCTATTTCTACGCTAAAGCAAAATTAAATAAATGACATAATGCTGGATTGTAATCTGTGATCACCGGCAAGTAATTACGAGCAGCCTTTTAGCTAATGCAGCGGCTTTGTCAGTATTTGCACCCCAAATTGGTAATATGCACCCAAACATCAAACTAACTAGCTGCGCATTAAGAGATTCTACCATACTTTGATCACGCAATTACTTTTATCGAGATTAGATTTCGTGATAGCTACAGAATGCTTGGTCTCCGGAGAGAAGACTTGTAAATGACTTAAGTTTAGTGGCCATAGAACAGACTATATTGTAGCTGATGGCCAGCTTACATTTTACGGTTACAAATTGTGTTCATGAATTTATCTGAGCTTGCTTGTTTACTTTGATAATACGAAGGATATTGTGAGATTTTTTGGAGAGAGCCCTTGAAATGGCGCAAAGTGCGCAGCATATGACAAATGAAACTAATCAAAATTGACGCAACTAAATGAATAAATTTTTATATCACGTTTAATTACTTAATCTATTTTTCATGAATGAAAAGTGATTCTTGGACCTACGAGAGCCCAAATTACAGTGACTCTTCCAGCTTAAGTTTTGAAATCAACAAGTCGTAATCAACTGTCAGGAGACTAATATAGGCGGTAGACTTATAGATTAGACCTGTTCATTTCAATATTACATGATGATTAACAATCAAAATGTTAATCAAGGACATGCAACTCCGCGTAGCTAAACTGGCCGGCTTCTCTGAGTTTTCTAGACTTGGTGAGAGTGTCGATATTACAGAAGTTCATGACATAGTTATTTTTTTAAGATTTCGGGCCATCATACTGTCAAGAATAATTCATGCCTCTTTTGGTTTAAAGGGGAGATTGTATAGGTCTGAGGCCTCCTCCAGCTATATGATCACGTGCGTGATTTAGAGGAGACTTGCGGCTGGATAAGAGCTATAAAGAAGCATAGGTATCCTCATCATATAATCAGAGCGGACCTGTATGTATCATTTAGACTCTGACTGAGAAAGGATTAAAAAATAACTTTGAAAATCAAATAAAGGTACTTTATCTGGATAAAATTAGTATTTTCACGACGACATAGAATCTTTGACATCAAAAAGAATTACGGGCTGGATTAGATCAGCCAGCAACTACAGTAGGATAAAGACTTATTATGTGTCTCAAATAGCAGTATGTGCTACAGTTTAGAAAATTTTTATTGCCTCAAGTCACAGCGCAAGTTTGTAAGCTGGTGGGACTCATAGAGATTATGACTTTATGGGTAACAAATTCTACGAGCGAATTTTGACCGAAAGTCGGCTCCACGTCAGGCGAGTCAGCAGGGATCCCTTACCGAGTCAATTTTCCAGAGCTAATGAGCAGTATTGAGGCGAAGATGGAGAGAAATAGAGAGATGTTTGCTGGCGAAGATGGACTTTGGGGTTGTAAACAATGATTACGCTGCGCGTGATGTATGGGCCTTGACTAGACGTGATGTGGGTGCTTTCTGCCCCTGCGCCTTGAATGATTTCCATGGTAAGGCGGATCATCATGTTCCATCTCAATTCGGCCGACAGAAAAGTTCTTCACCCTGGTTTTCCTAAGTCCCAAGAGGCACATTCTGTCCATGTCTCAAGCTTTTCAGGCCAAAGCGAAAGGGGCTAAGTTGATCTGGATCAATAAGACATGTACGAGCTGGTGATGTCTATATCTTGGCCATTCTCTCCCAACTAGACTCCATCAGCCCAAAAAGCCTTAAGACCCTGGTAACCAGGTTGGCCCAATGAAGACCCTCGAGGGCACATCCCAGATTCTATCAGCTCCCTGATCTACAAACCATGTGGGGTCAAACTAGCTTTAGCGTGTGTCTTTATCCAAACCCATCACATCATATTTAACATTTTTACAGATAGTAAACCAATAGTTCGAGTCCTGTTCAGTCGCCTCATCATCCCATTCCATTTCCAACGATTATTCGGTTTGACTTTACATGTCTAATGTTACAAAAATATAGCTCTATGTATCAAGTCCTAAGAGTGCAGCTGACACTATAAACACAAGCAAACGATGGAAGTTGTTGTGATCCGCCTCCTGGTGATGTTCTCTGGTATAGTTTGAGTAGCCTGGGCACCTACTCCACTTGGCAAGGAGACATCTCAGATTACATTTCGCGCGGAGAAAAGTTGAAAGATGACAGAGGCATGTCTGGATAACTCAGGGTTTTTGAGACGTTCCCCTGGGTGGGTAATCACGGATGAGGGTTGACTTGGGGTGAAGTAAAAGCCACCATAACTTCGCAGTGGTACTTGCAAATGAAATCTGAGGCATGAGTGCTCTTCTTGTAAATTGAGTCATCTTTTCTGTACTTTTCTTTGATATTGTGTCATAGCTAGATAGCTGCATACGTAATTAAAATCTGATGCAAAAAAAAAAGAATTTTTTTTTGTGAAGATACTTCAGCTTTAAAAACTCAGGTTAAATCACTTCCTTGTACTTGTTGGTGGATAAAAAGTTTGAATTAGAAATCTTCAGCATTAATTTCTGCATCAGATTTACCTAGGGAGCATAGACCCGTATCACGCCTATCGGGTATAGGGCGTAAGCCTGATATGAAATGATTTCAAATCAAATCAAATATCTGCAACATATCTCTCTTGCATGATCGAGATAAAGACTAAACATAATGGTATACATGTGTCTGTTGGTTTAGACAGGCATTAGCATACTTTTTTATTGCCAAGTAGCAATTCGAATATCGACTCTCCATCGCGAGGCTCAAAACGTGTGCAGGAAGAAATATAAAAACGCAACAAGTTGAACAAAATAATTTACCATTTTATTTACTTTCGGCAATAAATTCAACCTGCCCTAAGTAGCAGAAAGATTACTCCGCTTGATCTTTATGTAACACTTAGCTGTCATTAATAATTTACATTAATTGGTCTTAGATTGTCTTACGTTTTTATCCATATTTCTCAGTCTCGTGCCACACAGGAGATATACATCATCTCTACTTGCAGGCCAAAAATGCCTACGTTTCGGATTTTAAATGCCTCCTATGCCTCCCATACAGCTCCCCTAAAACAGTACCGCCCCTCACAAATCCTCATCCGATCATATACTTAGAGGAGGCCTTTGCCCTTCATTATCTCCCCTCTCCAGCCAACGAAACGATGGCCATTTGCGGATGTATGGCAGCCGGGAAAAATCGCAAAAACCGCTGGGTGCGGAGCTCTTCTAATACCGACATTAGGACTAAATCCGAAGACATAGTGACCCTTCCGAAGCGTTCGAGGAGGCCGGCAAGCTGGGCGCTGCACACTTGTGTGTGCCTCGGAAAATTCACCCTCTACCTTTCTAGCCTCCTTCCAACTTCTTCCAAAAGGTCGTGCTGAAGTGTCAGAAAAGTCTTGACAGAGCGTGATTGCTGTTTGGTAGCTTAGCTCAACTTCTTTTATGCCATCCAGGACTCTAGGGAGTGCCGTTGAATCATCGACAATAGAAGTCCTCCTAGTTAATGACCTGAAACCGCAGTCTATGCGCC